TTTTTTTAGACAGTCATTCTTATAGCCTGAAGATTTATATAAGTTAGATTTTCAAGTAGAATCCTGGAATAAATGTCGTATCGGAAATTTTTATTAGAATTTAACTTTCCTGTATTTCTCATTTTACTAGGATGCCCACAGCCTAAATTAATGTTTGACTGAGTGATACATTTTTAAAGCTTATAAACCCTTTGCATTTTATTTAAAGCCTGAAAACATTTTTTATAATTTAATAGATTTTTTCATAATTTGTTGTGAAACAATTCTGAAGAAATAAACGATATCTGTGGCGACAGAGGAGTATAACGAAAACAAATTGGAATATAATTCGGTTCTTCGATTAAGAATTACGAGCCATTGACCAATACCTGTCATCCATCTAGGAACTCACCAGGTTTGACTTTGCTTAACTCCAGTGATGGTCCGGGAATCGGCGTTACAACTTGATGCGTCCGTAAGACGGAAGGTATTTTCCTGATTATTTCATAAAAGTGATGGTTGGAATAATAATCCCCCCCCCCGTCTATTTTCAACCATTTGAAAGCAACCAGCTTTTGACAGAATGAAATTCGACACTTGTCTATCTTGTAACAACATTTTATGTATCATTATTACTTAAATCTGTTGAAAAACTTCTTCGTCAAGTTTCAGTTTGGTTGGGCTTAGTTTGTTTTTACGGCATGTAAACCTCAATGTCTTATTTAAAATATATTGCTGGTAATACTTTTCTTTTTTTAAATGCATTGTTGGCAATGTTTTTTTTTAAGTATTACTGGTAAGACTCTTTCCAAAAAAAGTATTACTTGTAATAAATTTTTACAAAAATGTATTGCTGATATTAAAACATATTTTTACATGTTTTAACCCTGTTTGTGGTTAAGTATTTGCCGATAGCTGGGACCTTAACAGGTGCTATCACCCCGAGTCTGGGTGGACCTGAAAACACCAGCAATTAATAGGTGGTTCTACGCATCTCAAAGCCTCGTATTAGAGTTCTTTCTGATTAATGTACTTTATCGTCGTACCCAGGACACAGATGTAGTTTATCGTCATACCCAGGACGGGTCACTTTTCATACTAATTTATTACAAGTATATGGCTGAATGCAGCGTAGGGTTTACTGCTAGATAATTAACAATATTCCACATTGCAGACGACTAATCAGACACATTTGTGTTTCATCAATATTCAGAACGCCCACATCTGGCTTATACTGGAAGTTTTCTGAGCGGACCCAGTTAGAGTTTATGGAATACACTGTATAATTCGTGGTAATCTCCAGTTTGATCTAGGCCAGTACGTGTAAACTTCAGTCACGATGACTTGGAACTTCGTTGTTCTGAGGTTTTCCACTATTCTTTTTCCAGTCACAGGGCCTCAGACAAGTGATAGTGAGTGGTGTCCCCATGTATGGGTCGTCACAATCTTGACAAATCAATTATTGTGGGATTCAAATGACGCAATTAAAAAAATCAAATATGTTCTTTTTACTGGAAAGAAAGTTTGAACGAAATACGAACGGTATAAATGTAGTCTAATTATTTATTGTGCACATCATTCAAAATGTATTTGATTTCCTTAAAACGTGTGCTTTAGGTAATTTCTCAAGTGTTTGTAAATGGTAAAACCATATAAATATCTTGTAAGAGGATTAATTTCAGAGATTAAGATTGAAATTTCATTTCATTAATTAGAATCTTTTCATTTTATAATCTGATAATTAAGGACAAAACAATTATTGAAGCAACAAGCTGAATAAAGGTGTTGCTCAAAATTCTGATTCGCTAATACAACACTGACTGTGTAAATCAAACTCAACTGGTTACGTTACAACTTGAACCCGTACTGCAGATTACAAATTACCAAAGCATCGCCGCTACCTTAGAATTTACTGAACCAACAAACATCTCTACTGCGGATTGAAATTCATAAAATCTCTCTCTTCAAACAATTTTTCAGGTTATTTTTTTTTCTCAGATCCAATAACTAATGTCGCTCAATCTCGTATTTATAAGCCTTTCCTTCGCTAATGCAACACTGACTGTTTGGAAGAATAGCGTAGATCTGTACATTTTCCAGAAAATAGCAAAAGAATAAAACTGCTGTCCAGATACACCCAAAATATATGTGTACATATTTGTGTGTGCGTATGTGCCAGTGTATGATTGCTTGGCATTATTTTCGTTGTTATTATCGTTATTGCTGTTGTTGTTGCTGTTATTAATGATGGATATTTTTTTATATAGTATTTCAAATATTTCCACTGAAAAGCTATTTTAATTAGATAGAGGATTACATCAATGACCCTATGAAAATCATTTTTAATTTTTGTACATTCCCATCTCTTTTGTGATTGCTAGCAAGATGAGTAAAAGTCATGCAATATGCATTGTATGATATATATATATATATATATATATATATATATATATATATATATATATATATATATATATATATTTATATTATATATATATACATTTATATTCATATATATATAGAGAGAATATTTATATTCATATATATATATTCATATATATATATATGTATATATATATATATATATATATATATATATATATATATATATATATATATATATATTCAATGCTTATATGCCTATCATGTGGATGACATGTCAGCTGCTATTTAATTGTAACATTTTTTCTAAATGTTCGTTTGAAAATATCCATCGAAAATAAATCTCTCAACTGTTGTCAGTGATTTTTTTTTAAAATTTAATTAAGTTTAAAGGAATTCACACAAATCCACTTCATATTTAAACTCATAAAACAACAAACTGTTGGGTTAATCATAAAATTCGTTTATTTTACAAAGCATATATTTATTTTTCAAACTGATCGCTTTCCTTGTCAGTTCACATATGAAACTCTATATATTGGATATTGGACATTGAATAATAGACATTAGATTGAAATATTTAGACATCACGTTTCATGGAAGTTCATTTCGATAACTGAATTTCAATACTTGCGATTACTTCTCTGATCTCTGTATATTTTGAAATACTTTCGAAATAACTTGATGATGAATTCTAATCTTTTTTTAGACAGTCATTCTTATAGCCTGAAGATTTATATAAGTTAGATTTTCAAGTACACAGGAATCCTGGAATAAATGTCGTATCGGAATTTTTTATTAGAATTTAACTTTCCTGTATTTCTCATTTTACTCGGATGCCCACAGCCTAAATTAATGTTTGACTGAGTGATACATTTTTAAAGCTTATAAACCCTTTGCATTTTATTTAAAGCCCGAAAACATTTTTTATAATTTAATAGATTTTGTCATAATTTGTAGTGAAACAATTCTCAAGAAATAAACCATATCTGTGGCGACAGGAGTATAACGAAGACAAATTGGAATATAATTCGGTTCTTCGATTAAGAATTACGAGCCATTGACCAATACCTGTCATCCATCTAGGAACTCACCAGGTTTGACTTTGCTTAACTCCAGTGATGGTCCGGGAATCGGCGTTACAACTTGATGCGTCCGTAAGACGGAAGGTATTTTCCTGATTATTTCATAAAAGTGATGGTTGGAATAATAATCCCCCCGTCTATTTTCAACCATTTGAAAGCAACCAGCTTTTGACAGAATGAAATTCGACACTTGACTATATGGTAACAAAATTTTATGTATCATTATTACTTAAATCTGTTGACAAACTTCTTCGTCAAGTTTCAGTTTGGTTGGGCTTAGTTTGTTTTACGGCATGTAGACCTCAATGTCTTATTTAAAATATATTGCTGGTAATACATTTTTTTAAATGCATTGTTGGCAATGTTTTTTTTAAGTATTACTGGTAAGACACTTTCCAAAAAAGTATTGTAATAAATTTTTACAAAAATGTATTGCTGATATTAAAACATATTTGTACATGTTTTAACCCCAGTTTGTGGTTAAGTATTTGCCGATAGCTGGGACCCTAACAGCTGCTATCACCCAGAGTCTGGGTGGACCTGAGAACACCAGCAATTAAGAGGTGGTTCTACGCACTCAAAGCCTCGTATTAGAGTTCTTTCTGCTTAATGTACTTTATCGTCGTACCCAGCACACAGATGTAGTTTATCGTCATACCCAGGACGGGCGTCACTTTTCATACTAATTTATTACAAGTATATGGCTGAATGCAGCGTAGGGTTTACTGCTAGATAATTAAAAATATTCCACATTGCAGACGACTAATCAGACACATTTGTGTTTCATCAATATTCAGAACGCCCACATCTGGCTTATACTGGAAGTTTTCTGAGCGGACCTTAGTTAGAGTTTATGGAATACACTGTATAATTCGTGGTAATCTCCAGTTTGCTCTAGGCCAGTACGTGCAAACTTCAGTCACGATGACTTGGAACTTCGTTGTTCTGAGGTTTTCCTCTATTCTTTTTCCAGTCACAGGGCCTCAGACAAGCGATAGTGAGTGTCCCCATGTATGGGTCGTCACAATCTTGACAAATGAATTATTGTGGGATTCGAATGACGCAATTAAAAAAATCAAATATGTACTTTTTACTGAAAATAAAGTTTGAACGAATTACGAACGGTATAAATGTAGTCTAATTATTTATTGTGACATCATTCAAAATGTATTTGATTTCCTTAAAACGTGTGCTTTAGGTAATTTCTCAAGTGTTTGTAAATGGTAAAACCATAAATATAAGAGGATTAATTTCAGAGATTAAGATTGAAATTTCATTTCATTAATTAGAATCTTTTCATTTTATAATCTGATAATTAAGGACAAAACAATTTTGCAAAGTTGTAACTTCAACATCCAATCAATTTGTGTGAGATACGTGAGGATTAGTAAACAACAATGTAAATAGACGGTGGTTAATATGGTTTCCGATAAATTAATTGTCTTCATTAGTGCAAAATTTAAAATTTCAGAATAAATCAATGTAATATATTTTAATCATTAAATTCAGCATTATTAGGCAGAGATAAGTAAATGGAAAAATAAAATGAACTACTTAGATAGAAAATGAACATATATAGATAGTGGAAATGAACATAGATAGAAATGAACAAAGAAAGAAAGAAAGAAAGATTGTGACATAGAGAAATAGATAGATAGATAGATAGATAGATAGATAGATAGATAGATAGATAGATAGATAGATAGATTGCGACATAAATAGATATAAATATTGCGACATAGATAGATAGATAGATAGATAGATAGATAGATAGATAGATAGATAGACATAAAGATTGCGACATAGATAGATGGATATAAATAAAGGTTGCCACATAGATATAAATAAAGATTGCGACATAGATAGATAGATAGATAGATAGATAGATAGATAGATAGATAGATAGATAGATAGATAGAAATAAAGATAGCGATGTAGGGAGATAGCACTCAGTATCAATAGACTGGTAAATAGATAAAATGAACATATAAATAAATACATATATATATATATATATATATATATATATATATATATATATATATATAGATAGATAGATATAGATAGATAGATAGATAGATAGATAGATAGATAGATAGATAGATATGTAGTTACAAATGAATATCATAGGTAAAATGAATAATAGACAGATAGATAAAAATGAACATAGATAATGAACATTCTGAGATAGATAGATAGATAGATAGATAGATAGATAGATAGATAGATAGATAGATAGATAGATCATAGCCTCTTTATGACTGTTATTTATTATACACAATATGTTACTTTTTCAACAATTTAAATTTCACCATAATCTTCTGACTTGTTAATGCTTATAGCCGACAGCTGATATGATTTCAGATAACATAATTGTCATCATCACCGTACTAAGAAAACAGTGATAGGAAACACAATTAAAACAAAAAACTAATTAGACATCGATCTAATTTGTTTCTTGTTTTAAGAGTCCTATACAGACATCTAGATAGACAGGTAGATAGAAATGAACATAGATACATATAACGAACATATAATTATTAATGTGGATAAAACAAATACATAGCTAGCTATTAGCAACCGTGTGTTACAGTGCATACAGGATTACGCGAATAAATATTTACTCAGTTTAAATTAAAGTGTAAACAAATCAGTGCTCATTGTGGTTAGATAAAACTAAGAAGCATATTATTACTTAGCGTGTTTCTCGGTGTTTCTCTTTTAAATTTAAGCTCATTTTTTTTTTTAAATAGCCCTCTACCTGCACTCTAAATTCTGTGTTTACACTGTGATATTATGTTAAATTCACATTAAAATTGAGCTATTAATTAAGTTTAATTTTTTTTAAAAATAACATCTTATAATTCGGGATGAGTTGTTAGAATGAGTTATGAGTAGCATATCAAACGTAGGTATATGTCTATTTATTAATATAAAAATCGACACAGATAGATACGAAGGATAATAATGTTGTAACCTAGAAAGTGTTATTTAATGAAGAATAAGGAAAACGGTGGTTGGAAATGTAATGATAATATTTATAACATATAGAAGTGAAAATAGATAGATAGATAGATAGATAGATAGATAGATAGATAGATAGATAGATAGATAGATAGAAATAAACATAGATGATAGATAGATAAAAATTAACATAGATAAATAGATAGAAATGAACATAGATATATGGATAGATATATAATTAGACATATAGAAATGAACACAGATACATAGATGAATAGAATAATAGAAATTATCATAAATAAATAGAAATGAACAGAGATAGATAGATAGATAGATAGATAGATAGATAGATAGATAGATAGATAGATAGATAGATAGATAGATAGAAAAAAGAAACAAAGATAGATAGATAGATAGATAGATAGATAGATAGATAGATAGATAGATAGATAGATAGATCAGCAGCCTCTTCATTACAGGCCTATTCATTATACAAAAGAAATACACATTTTCAATAATTTGAATTTCAACATAATCTGTTGACTTGTTAATGCACGCAATTCCTTGTTGAATCTTCATCACAAACACAATATATTCTCCGTCTACATTTCTTGAACGAGGTAGTACTATTTACATTATTTACATTCTGACTAATGACCTTGTTGAGGGAGACAAAATTTATCCCCCTTTAACTAAACCTTAAAAGAAAAAAAACTAAAAATAGATAACCTTTAAAAAACTATAGATATATAGATAGTCAGGTGAACATCCCGAGGGATCGTTAGGCAAAGAAAGTCAAGCATCCTCTTTGGTTCCTGGCAGTCAAACCAGAAAGACGTCTGGTCATGACTATCAACTTAAGATAAGTACTCACGATCACCTTTTTCAGATATCAAATATCTCCCAAAAACATATACATACTCTGTATGAACATTTCAAATATAAATTAAATATATGTATTTTCAATTGATGTTATATAAAGACTTACGTGGTTATTTTACACATTTTTTAATGTGTTTATGTTGTATTGATATGCACCTTGTTGATTAATCCAATTGCACATTGTCTCGCACAACAACCTCTTCATTGTTGCTTCTATCACGTTTTTAATCCGTCTTTCCACCTTCTCCGCTTGTCTATGGACCGGGGTAACCTTCAGTGGATTTCGAGCTGAACTCTTTATTTTATTGAAAGAGATGAAAAAGTTTCGTTTCTCGTCTTTCTTTTATTAGTACAGCTCAGTATTACTTGTAATATTTACACTGAATTTCAACGGCCGAAACATTGTAATAGGGAAAATAAAGATATATGTTAGTCAAATGACATACAGTGAATTTTGTCAGATCAAAATAAGACTACGAACAGCATAACAGGGCACAATGTATAAACTGTCGTCTAAATTAAGCGAAAAGGAAAATAGCACTGACATTTATTTTAACAGATATATTTACCAAAATTACACAAAAATATCTTGAAAGATGGATCAGTAAATGTTTTGAATAAAATTGCCATTGCCTTCAACCAAGGACTCCAGACGATTTCGAAATCTCCTGCTACTCATATCGATGATCGCTTTGTTTAATTTGGTGAATGCTATCATCATTCGTGTTACAAGGATACCTGTTGGTATCTCGCTCAACTGTATGATAAACCAGGGTGTTGCAGTCTGGGGAATTGGAGTCTGGTTCCCAGATTTTGTCGTAGAAATTGTATGGTAGCTATGACAGTGTTCTCCTACATGTGTGTACTGGTACAAAGTCTTGTTGCCAAACATAGGTTCTTCCGGCAGCCATTTTCTTGATGCATGTCAACACTACCACCTGAAGGCTAGTGATGTAGTCCTTCGTGTTGCCCTGTGGGAAGATGAATGGAGTCATATCGTTACCATCACTAGTGATCGCTCCAAACACCTTCGTCATTACCATTAGTCTCATTCAACTCTTTCGGAATCCTCTGCACTCTCCTCATTTCAACACTGTGAAATGTTCGTCTCGTAGCTTCAGTCGCGAATGCCAAGCAGTACAACATTCCCTTCCTAAATGTCTGGTGGAGTCAATTGCGTCATAGTGATGTTTGTTTCTCACCGACGGTGCCCAACTGATCCTGCTATACTGTGCAGTCGACAAAATAAAAAAAAAACAAAAAAAAAACAAGCAACTATCAATTGTAAAAACTGGTATAGAAATTAATTTCAAAATTCTATGCATTTGATACGAAACTTTGATGAAATTATGTTCATCACTTCCCTGATACCTTATATTACGATTTTATGTTATCTGTCTGCGTATTATCTTCCGTGAATCTGTGTCTTTAAATGCGGCTATGAGCTCACTTCTCACAATGAAAAATTGCCTAAAAAGTGTATCCTGGCTAAAGAACTTGATTTGAGCGTTTATTATATTATAACGTAGAAAACAAAATGCGTTTCCAATAGTGACAGAAATTTTTGTGAACTTACAACTGAAAAATAAATGAAATATAGCGTGATTATATATCCGCTTCTTTGTGTAGATGGAATACCGTCTACACTCATTTATAAATCGATTTCATGTATAGTGCAACACCATTAAAGTTTTGCATGAATTTGAAATCCATATAAATGAATTGTCTGTTCGTAATGCAACCGGTCACCGAAAATGCATAATTTTTATCTTATTCCAAACAATGATCTGTGTATAATGTGTGTAAAATACAGTATAATCTGTGTAAGATACAGATATAAAAAGCACGCACTATACTCACGTATATACGGTACTTATATATACGTTTTGATTAAAAAAAATTAAATAAACGCTAGGTAGTATTGTTCTTTTTTTATCTGTAAATTCATACAAGCAATATATCCCTTTATGAAAATGTAGTTCTGTTATAACTTAGCTGTCTCTTTTTAAAAAGTACTGACTTCCCATATTAAATTAAACAAAATCTTAGGATGGAAACTTTAGTGAATTTGAGAAATTTATTTTCCTGAAAAACTATTTAAAGTCAATTATTTTATAACTATCGGAATAACCACCGCCTAGCTGTGTGTCACACATTTCTTTTGGAAGAAAACTTCAACTAAAACTTTTAAATCATTGTTATAAATTGTGCAGCAAAGTTGTGTGTTTCAATACTGCCAAAAATCTAGCAGATGTTAACTCTGTCTTCTGGCTATCTCCTTCTTTATTTTGTATAAGTCATCCGCTTGTTCAAATTAAAATTTAATTGATATGAAAGGGAAAAATTTTCAATGGAAAGTTTAAGCAATACAACTTTATCTGACCCCATTTGATATGCATTTTATACAATAGTTGATGGAATGAATTGATGATTCGACATTGATATGACAGTTGTATTGTCGCAACAAATATGTATTGTAAGGCACTACCGACTGATTGGAGATTTCTTGCTCAACATGACGTCCATATTGTCTCATTTTGATTTTGCCGGTGTGATCTCCATCTTCTGACTTTCTCCTTCTATATTTCGTGTTGGAGACATTCCCCCTGTTCATATTTAAAATTAATTGAAATCAAAGGGAAAATATTCAGTGGGGTTTGTGTCCTCCGGAGAACCCCTTTGATCAAAATGAAATATATTTATCCAAATAACCTAGTAGTCATTTCTTTGTTTAAATTTAAATTTAATTTATATCAAAGGAAAAAAAAATCTATGCCTCGACCCCGTGGACGCTCTTTAATCAAAATGAAATATACTTATCCAAGTACCCAGAGAATATATAAATATATGGTTATGGGGGACTATCTCCAAAACCCATTAGAACTTTATATATAGAAATTTTAAGTAACGCTAACTCTTTGATCAATTAATATTTTTGTACAGCTGATCCTTTCCTTTACCAGTTGCTGAGTGGTGGCAGACGACATCGTTCCCGTTTGCATCGTTTAAAGCAGTGCGCAGATTACAAAGTTACGATTCCTTACAAAGCATTCGTTTTTCTAAGCAGACAATGCATACGTACCAATAAGAGTATGGAAAATTATTTGGATTTTTTCGCTATTCTAACACTTGAATGAAAAGCAAAGCTATATTTAAATTAAGATATAAAGAACTAATGAACACAAAACTAATGGCTTCTAAATCCGAACCAATTGAGTTTAACACTAGCACGTTGAGTTTGCATTGTTTGATAGTCATGCCGGTTTTACTATGAAGGAAATTTACATAGTAAAGATGAATAATTCGGTTGTTACAGTGACAGAAGTATTCACGCACGCATCTTTATATTATTTCAACATTCAGCAATGAACATTTTTATTTCATACCATCCATGTCTAAATA